TCAAAAGTGCCTTTGTGAAAACTTTGCTATGAAAAATCTTGGAGATGCTAAGAGAATCCTAGGGATTAATATTCTTAGGGATAGGAGTAGGTGTACCCTTACCCTGAACCAAACCTCCTATCTTGATAAGGTCTTGAAAAAGTTCAAAATTGACTCTGCCCAACCTGTGAATGTTCCCTTAGCACCCCATTTTGTGCTAAGCAAGGATCAGTCCCCAAGGACTGCTCCTGAGATAGATAGGATGAAAGCTGTACCCTATTCCAGTGCTATAGGGTCAGTCATGTATCTCATGGTAAGCACAAGGCCTGATATAGCTTATGCTGTTAGTTGCTTAAGTAGATATATGGAAAACCCTGGTACGTCTCACTGGACTGCCCTTAAATGGCTCCTTAGATACCTTAAGGGTACGCCTTCTCATGGTCTTGTGTTTTCTAAAACTGAAACTGGCATTTTACTTACTGGCTATGTTGACTCCAATTATGCAAATGATAGGGACAATAGAAAATCTACTACTTCCTACATTTTTACTCTTTGTGGTTCCTGCATAAGTTGGAAATCTCAACTACAACCTATATTTGCACTGTCCACTACTGAATCTGAATACGTGGCAGCCACTGAGGCCTTTAAAGAGGCTATTTAGCTTAAACGAATGCTAACTGAAATTGGTTTTCTTAAGCAGGTTGTGACAGTGTACTCTGATAGCCAGTCTGCTATCCAATTGTGCAAGAATCCTGTATTCCATGACAGGACCAAGCACATTGATGTCAGGTTTCATTTTATTAGGAATATTGTGGATGCAGGTTGGATAAAGCTGTCCAAGATACCTTCAGAATTTAACCCTGCAGATATGGGGACTAAATGTCTCACTTTTGAAAAATTGTTGTCTTGTAAGCGTATTCTCTATTTAGATTGTGGCTAGATAAGAACTGTAAAACAAGAAAAGCCGGCGATGATGATTCTCCCTTTCACGTTGTGCTCTACACCACCAGGGGGACCAATAAGGTGGAGATTGTTGTGGTATTGGTCCACCTCATTACTGAGCCATCCATGAGCTGCCTTTTGGTCCACCCCATTTATGGAGTTGGTCTCCTAATTAATGTCCTGGCCCAATTGGGCTGTCTACCCGACCAAGCCCATCCGTCCCCCGTTTGTCTTATACCCAGCCCATCCCGTGTGGCCCTCCCTTATATTTGGCTGGTTCTTCTGGAATCCTCCTATTTCTGCCTCTCCGCCTTCTCTCTAAACGATGCCCCTTCAGTTCTGTTACCCTAGACCTAGAGTGAGAGAGTGCCGGTTTCCTCTGAGCTTTAGCTCCGGCTTTGCTCCGGTGAGACCTTGGGGTTCCTATTGGGGTCTTCACTCTAGTCTGGTAGTGTGGTGGGTTATCCGTTGCTCCGGTGGGTTCTCTGGGCTGGGGTCTGGGTTCTTTGTGTGAGGGCTAGTTGGTTGTCGCCCTTCTGTCTTCCCTGGTTGTATCCCTGGTGGTGAGTGTGAGCAAGCCTTTGGGCTTGGTGGTGATTGAGGTCTGAGCCGGTCCGGTTTTCTAACAGTCTTCATTCGCTTGTTTTAAGTATTGCTTCTGAAATCGTTTCATAGTATATATTTCACTGGTTGGCATCTAGAGAATAGACAGTGATGCGTAATGAGTTGGGCGACTAGATTTTAACGTGATGACCAAACTGCCTCAAATTCTTCTTAAGACCCAACTAATTAAATTAGCCTTGCAAAATGCTTTTTCTTTGATTCATGCTTATCTGGATTTATATGCTTCGATGGTAGAGTGTATTTATATTCTTAAGAGTTCTAACCAGACAAACAAATACCCTTTGTGGTAACTCTACACCCAAACAGTCATTTCAGCCCATATATCATCAAACACTTTCGCTTCAACATATTCGGTCATTTCAACAGATTCAGCCATTTCAGTCGTTGAAGTCGTTACCAAACAGACCCTTAGCGCCTCCTCTTTTCAAACTTCTCAAACTAGAATCCGGCCTTGTCTTAGTTATATATACATATACTTACTTCGTCCTGAAATCAACTCCCACCTTTCCTATTTGATATTACCTCTGTCCCACAATTTTGGGACAAGGGGATGTGACACAACTTGTAAGAAAAAATGGAATTATGTAGTTAGTATTGAATTGATAAAGTATGAAAAGAGTAAAAATGAATTGTAACCACCCAAATATTGCCAAATATGATATGAAACAAACTTAATGGGACAGACGGAAAAGGTAAAACGGGACAAAGTTAGATGGTGACCTCGATGGAGTATGTTCCAAATTTAGTTTCTTACTTTACTTTATTTCTACTTTTGATCTATGTGGCACCGATGCGGGTATGTGGAAACGCGGAACCGGGTACGGGGATACGACAAAACCAAATAAGTGGGATACAAATACGGGATATATTTATAAATATTAGAAGTTATGGGGGTGTATTTATAAATATTAAAAATTATGAGGTGTATTTATAAAAATTAAAAATTATAGTTTTTCTTAAACTATACATGTATTATCCTCTGACCATTCATGACATTGAATTATTTCACATTATCAAGATAGTTACGAATAAGTTCATACATTATCTCAAATACACTAATGCATCTCGAACTATAAATATAGTTAATAAGTCCGAAAATCACATTTTTGAAATTAAATGAGAAACAAGTCCAACAATTAAATTTTTGAAATTGAAATTACAAGTATTCAAAGTTCTTGGATAACAGAGAGAGAAAACAATACTCTAATAATAATAAAAATTAATAGTTCAAATACATATTTCCACTAGCTACTAATTTCCAGGGATAATATCATCTTCCAAAAAGACAAACTCCAATTCTGGTTCATCTATGGAAAGGTTCAAATTCAAGTACTTGTATATCCTCCATGCTTTCAAAGTTATCTCCACGAACATCTCACATTTTACTTATCGTCCATATACTAAGTTGTGTGCGAGATTAAGCAAGGTAAAATTTAATTTTAGCTTTCATTTTTTAAGAAATTTATTATGTAAAATTTGAGTGTTTTTTATATAAAAAAGTTGATACGTGTATCCGTCAGGATACAGGTATCCGAAATTTTAAAATAATTACAAAAATGTTGGAAACTTTTAATAAATTGCAGATACGGCCTGAGAACGTACGGTACATGTACTCTAGAGTATCTGATACGAGAACGTTTCCGATACACCGATACGGTACTCTAGTGAAGTATCTGTGCTTCATAGCTTTTGATAAATTTTTGCTTTGAATGTATCCATTTGCCTCTTACTTTTATTAATCACTTCCATTCTTTAATTAAGGCTAAATGGTTAAATAAGCCATGTACCCATCAGGAATGCTCATTCGCCCCCTGAACTCTAATAAGCCCCAATTCACCCTCTAAACTCGGCAAAAAAGTTCAAATCTCATTTTTTTTGCAGGTAAAAGTCCAGTCACCGCCATGTCACCCAATTAGATGTCAACCGCGCATAACACGTGTCAGTTTAAGGGGTCAAATAAGCCCCTTAACCTGAAAGAATTGTTCAATTTACCCCCTCAACCGTTAAAAATGTAAGAATTGAAAAAAAAAGAAATTAAAAAATAGAAAATACAAATATAAAATAAGATACAAGCCGAAAGTATAAAATATAGACATCTATTAATTAATATAATAAGGATGTATTAATACTCGTCGTAAATTCATAAAAATAAACTAAAAGGAATTCATTAAAACTGTTTTGATATTTTAAATCTTTTTTTAAATAAACAATACATGTTTTTACAAATAAAAATTAAATTTGTATTTTGTTATGTAAAATTACATACTATTTTTATGTAATTTTTTTATTATGTTTTAGATTTATATGTAAAATTACACAAACACACATGCATATATGTATATTTTCTTCGTATGATTTTACTCTAGAAGTATATATATACCCTTCATACTAATTATATACACAATAAATATTTTTATACTATATAAAAAGTATAATATGAGAATAGTTATTACATTTTTATATTATGTATTTAAAAATAATTTATTTTTGTTATATTTTTTTATAAATTCAATTTACCGCAAAATTTAAATATTTTCTTATCATATTATAAATAGACGTCTATATTTTATATTTTAAACTTGTATATTATTTTATATTGCTTATTTTCATTTTGTTAATTTCTTATTTTTTAAATAGCAATTTTGACACTTTTTAACGGTTGAGGGGGTAAATTGAACAACTCTATCGGGTTCATGGACCTATTTGACCCCTTAAATTGCCACGTGGGATGCACGGTTGGCATCTGACATGGAGACGTGGTGATGATCAGACTTTTACCTGCAAAAAATGAGATTTGAATTTTTTTTGTAGAGTTCAGGGGGTGAATTGGAGTTTTTAAGAGTTCAGGAGAGGAGTTGAGCATTCCGGACGTGTACATGGGTCTATTTGACCTTTTAACCTTTACTGTGTACATGTAATTTTGAGAAGTCAACTTTTATTTTTTTCCTACCTAAAACTCGTAAAGTCAAGCCCGGAAATTAATTTTGGGATGAAGGAAATATATGATTATTGCTATATTTCAAATAATAAAAGACTGAGATTTAAAATCAAATATTTCTCTCTAAAAAATGCAAATATTAAAAAAAATTGACATGCAATTTTTAACACATGATTATGCTTTGCCAAAAGAAATACTCCCTCCGTCCGATCTGATTTGCAAAATTTCCTATTATGGTTGTTCCAAAATAATTTTCCACTTTCTATTTTAGGTATGTAAATAAGAATAAAGTGACAAATTTACCCTTACTTTTACTTTTTCCCCACTAACTTAAAAGCATCTACTTTTAAAATGATGAACAAAAGTGTAAAATACAAGAATAAAGTGACAAATTCACCCTTACTTTTACTTTTTCCCCACTAACTTAAAAACATCTACTTTTATTATCATTCCTTAATCCTTGTGATGTCAAAGTTTGCAATTCAATTCGGGAGGGAGTATCCTGTACATGGTTGTGTACTTATTTGTGCTTCTTAACTGCATAGCCTTCCATAGTTCCCTTAACTCTCCTGTTCTCTATTAGGGAAATTCTGTCCAGTTGACTACAATTCTTTGCACTACAATTGAAAAGTTGGATATCGTAATTGGACAAGGGGCAAGGAATTTGTGCTCACCCCAATCAAAGGTAGCCCAATTAAGACGTACTCACGGAGGAGAATGCTACCATGTATCGCGACTTTATGTTAATTGCATTCGTGCATCTCAAGTTTGCAAAAGTTGACGTTCTTTATCGTAAGTTGAGTTATAGTTCAAGCGTGTTGTTCAATTCAAACTCAAGAATATCCAGTTATATTAGGGAAGGCGATGTCTTCTCCGCACGTAAACTGTTTGACGAATTACCCAACAGAAATGTTGTGACTTGGAACTGCATGATTTCTGGGTATACCAGGAACGGGATGATCCAAGAAGCTCGAGAGCTTTTTGATTCTATGCCAAGCAGGAATGTTGTGTCTTGGACAGCCATGCTAAGTGGGTACGCGAGGAACGGAAGGCTAGACGAAGCTAAACTTTTGTTTGATTCAGTAGCTGACAAGAATATTATTTGTTGGAATTCGATGATTTCAGGGTATGTGAGCAATGGAAGAATAGAAGAAGGTCGAGCACTGTTTGATAAAATGCCAATTAAGCACACAACATCCTGGAGAATCATGATTGATGGATACTTTCAATGTGGAAACTTGAGTGAAGCAGAGAGGCTGTTTAACAAAGTACCAATGAAAACTGTGTCACTTTGTAACACGATGTTAGCAGGTTATGCTGATATGGGGAATCTAGAAGGTTCTTTTAGGTTGTTTATGAAGATGGAAACCCATGATGTTGTTTCATGGACTAGTATGATTTCTTGCTTGTTAAGAGCAGGGGAATTGAAACAAGCTAGGACCTTTTTCAATGACATGCCTGAGAAGGATATAGTGGCACGGACAGCAATGATAAGGGGTTATCTGGATAATAATCAGATTCAGGAAGCTCATGAATTATTTACGGAAATGCCATATCGGGACACAATAGCCTGGAACTCAATGATCAACGGCTATTCTCAAAACGGAATGCTTCAAGAGGCCCTTGATCTTTTCAACAAGATGCCACGAAGGGATATTGTCTCATGGAATTTGATCCTATCTGCCCATCTCCAACTAGGCGATCCAAATGCCGCCACAAGATTTTTCACGGAGATGCCTAAGAAAGATGTAACCTCTTGGAACACAATGATATCTGGATTCCAAAACGAGGAGGCTCTGTTGTATTATGTCAAGATGCTACAAGATGGGATTAAGCCCAACAAGGGAACCTTCCCAAGTGTATTATCAACATGTGGACTTCTTGCTATCCATGGTTGTGGACAAGCAATTCACGCCAGTGTTATAAAAAATGGTCTTGAAAATGATATCATGACACTAAGCTCATTGATCTCAATGTACTCTAGGTGTGGTTTTTTAGACGTGGCATCATTTGTGTTCCAAAATATGAAAAAGCGGGACCCGGCTGCATGGAATGCCATTATTATGGCCCAAGCACACCACGGTTCTGCCGTGGAAGCTCTCACTCTTTTTGACGTAATGGTCCAAGATGGGTTTGAACCGGACCACATAACGTTCATGGGACTCCTAGCTGCTTGTGCTCATTCTGGGATGGTTCATAAAGGCTGGGAATATTTTTACTCAATGCAAAAGAGATGGAATTTGGAGCCCAAACAAGAACATTATGTATACATGGTTGATCTTCTTGGCAGATCAGGTTCTTTAACAGAAGCGGTTGAGTTTGTTAAACAACTGCCTGCCGATGTTGTCCCAATGTATGCTCGGGAAACCTTATTAAGTAGTTGCAGAGTGTATGATGACTATAAGTTGGGTGATTTCGTGGTGAAGGAGTTTGGAACAGTTTCTCCTTCTCTGTCTCTTCTTTTATCAAACACGTATGCTGCAAGAGGGATGTGGAAGAGTGTGTCCAAGGTCAGAACTGAATTGAAACAACTTCGGTTCAGAAAGGAGTCTGGGTGCAGTTGGATTGAAGTGAATGGGTGTTTGTCTCAGTTTGTGTGTAATGACAAATCCCACCACCAAGCTGGGGACATCTACAAGGAGTTAGAGAGACTTTCTGTCCTCATTGTGAATTTTGGTGCATTGAGTTTGCCATCTTACTGGTGATATGGTGACCTAATACCTTCAACAGAATACATCAAATAACCAGCATCACAAGGTTATTGACTTGGAATCCGTTTGGTGAGACTCAACCTGCTGAATTTGATAAAGTTATGCCTGATATGTCATATACTTCGTATAATATTCTCAACTGTTAAAAAAAGAAAAATTAAAGTGAAGAAAAAATACATGAAAAAACAGCAAATTCAACCTACAAAGCATCCCTAAACTTAATTTTTTCTTGATTAAACATTTCAGCAAATGGTATTAAAAACATGGCTGGTAAGGCCGATAAGGAAACAACATAGGGAGTAGTTGTCAAGGATCACATATTTAATTCATATGAATTTTACCCAACACTTTTTCTTCAGAAAATCCAGCAGCATATCAGCTGAGCAACCCCAACACTTTCCCTTCAGAAAATCCAGCAGCCATATCAGCTAAACAACCCCACCAGACAGGCTCCCAGAACCCTTCTGAATTAAAACTAAAGTTGTGTATTATGTTCTGTACGGTTGTAGCACTATATTGCAGAGATGATACCATAAGGGCTCCATCCTCACTTGCCTTGAGCACAGTCAAAGCTACCAAAATTTGAACTCACTGAAAAAACTCAATGATACCAAAATTTGAACTCACTGAAAAAACTCAATTATATTCATTTTATAGTAAAAAGTTGCTTAAAAAAAATAGGTCCGAGCGGCCTGCTGTAGCTGAGAAAGATTACTTTTACAGTTTGCATCAGCATAATGGTAAAAATTCTCAATGTGTACATACTGTGAATGTATTAAGAAGGTGAATATTCTTTACCCATCTCATAGTATACAATTATATCCTCAATAAGAAAGAACAATTAGAAGAAAAATAAACAATAAACACATAGGACATGATGCAGGCTATTAGGCTTCCGTACGGTGGTTGTTGCTATTCTCACAGTTTTGGGAAATTTCAGGTGCAGTGGTGGCGGCAGGTAAAGAGCTTCGCCGGGAAATCTGACGGTTGATGAGGTTCCTCCGATCAGCACACCGCTTGAAGCATGTGTAGATATACATGACGAGCCAAAACACCCATGGAGACCCAATCAGCGAGAAGGCGACGTAGAGAAACCATGGTTGAGATTGCGCCGGAAAGAAAACGTAGATGCCAAGAAACACCCCGCCAGCGGTTACCAAGATGAAGAACAAGAATGAGATGAGTGGGACCCTTATGTCGGTTTGCCGCTCCTCCATTGTTATTATTCTGTTTTCTGATGTATCAGCTTCAGATGTATTTTGAGGGGGCGGTTATGGCGAGATTCGAATTGAATATTCAATTCACACCAATAACCTTCAGAAAAATCATCTTTGAGAGGTGGAGCTTAATAAAGAATGGTATTTTCTGATGATAATGATGATGATATGGACTGATCTGGTTTTATTGTTAGATTAGAATTCTTATTGATTTTTATGCCGGGAGAGATCAACAAAATGTAAAAACACAAAAGAGGAAAAGGGGAAGGAAGCTAAGCTAAGAACCTAATTAAAGGCGTAGCGTTGCTTCCTTGACGAACGTTGCGATGTGCTTCTTCGTCTATATGCATAATGAATGCATGGTGTATTACGTTCTCTAATACTTTTTTTCGTAAACAGCTAGAAACGATACAAACAAACGATATCAAATACGGAAATACCTTGTGGTTTTTTTATATACAACTGTTAGTCCTGAAATGGAGGTATAAGTTCGACTCCATTTCAATAAGTTAAAAGTGTTGTAAAAAAATAAGACTAATGTTAGGTTTTGTAAACAAATGACAAATTTAAAGACTAATGTTAGACTAGTCTAATGGTAAGACTGATCTCATTTTGTTAAAATTTAAATTATAATTCATTTTGTATAACGTCTAAATGGTAATTCTATTTATTTATTTATTTATTTATATATATATTTATTTATGATTAATTAATTAATTTATGTGGTATAAAGTTTTTGTTGACAGGAAAACTAAATTGTAAATGTATACTAACGTATTTCTCTTATAAAGAGTGCATATATAACCGATTCTCTGGTTCAGAGATTTTCGAAGTAGATATGGTATAATATTCGATTGAAAATTATGGAATAGAAATGTTCCGCGCATAAAAATAGAAATAATTATTGTTTATACATGTAATTAAAATAAGTATTGTTTATAAAAATGTGACATCCCAAGTATAGTGACTATAAGCTAAGAGTAAATTAATCATAATAATTTGTGTTTAATATTTACACATAAATAACTACAAGATTATACTATAGTAACTATATGCCACATATTTGTAAATAGATTTCATTCAGTACTATTTTTGAAAAAACTTCTAAAAATATACGCCATAATTGTGCTTAAAAATACTTTGCATTTGCTAATTTTTTTTTTTAGAATTCCACGGCCATATATTTACTAGTGTAGGAATTATATGTGAGTAATTTAAGTCAAATGATGAAAATGTAATTCTAATATAAGAAATGTGAACGGATCTCGTATGCTAAATTTATTAATTTTATACTCCGTATTAATTATTTCTATTATCAAGATAATAAGCTAGAATAAATGGATGAACCATTATTATTATAATAATTATTATTTATACGGAGTATTATTTATGGCTATCTTGTATTATTAGTATCAACCATTGTCCTAAAAGTCAGTCTAGTTGGTCCGATTAATCATCACCTAGGCGCTAGACGTCTCTAACTACATGGAAGTAAACGACTTAGTGGATAAAAAAGCCGGCTTATCCTAGTTGGTGAAAGACGCCCCTCAACCACACGACTAGTGTTTTACGAGTTTTACAACTAGAGTATTAACTATGTTGAACTCGAGCGTTGCCCTGGGTGGTGTTTGTACTTCTCATATGTCGTCTTATTTTGTAACTATAAATGACTTCTAGAACTTATGAATACGAGTAAGCATAAGTGGAGGTAGAATTGACGATACCCCTCTTGTATATTATACAAATTATGCACACGATCTCATCGTGATTCAAACATTACTCCAAGTCCCATATATTATACTAAATACTTAATAGCCCATTTCATTTTCTGAATCAAACTTATAAATTTATACTGAGAAAATATATATATCAGGGTTATAATTAAAAATATGCAGGTAAAATTGTCTTGATATCTAAATGTTAAAACACTAAAAAAATGTTTGTATCGAACCATTAAATTTGTTATTAGAGGGTAACACATATATGACTAATGACTCATCATAACACGTGAAATTTTGATGCATCTTTTGAACTATATGGAGATAATGCGCATAACTTACATATCAAGGGGATTTCATACAACAAACCCAAAATATATACAATTTAGTTTGATTATTTTTCATTTTGGACTATTAAACTTTGATATAGGGTTTCATTTCTAAAAGTTAGGATTATTGAATGATTCAAATATTTCATATTGTTCTTTTATGGATGTTTTTCAAATGGCCTTGTGTCCGTTTAAGTCGAAATGCACATATTTTTTCATTACTAAATTTAAATACTCTAATTCTTTGATAAGCAAACTCAACAGTCGCATCTTAACTTATATATATAGAATAAATATTATGAACTTTTATCGTATATGTGATTTCAGCACCATAATTTTCTATTTATTTCAAAATAAAATTCACAATGGGGGATTCAAAAGAATGGAAAATTTAGTGCCCGCTTGGTGATCAAGCTGTTTTTACTTACGAAATTATCTCTTGAATTTAGGAAATTAAAATAATTTGAAGATATTTTTTAGATATATTTTTATTAAAAGACTTATGACCCATTTAACCAAACTTTTTCCATGATTATCATAATTATATGTTGGGATGGTTATGATGCGTGTCACGCCCCAAACCGCATCCGGGCTACGTAGACAATCGCCGTACAACCCGATAAGAACAACAACAGTTCATCCCTATTGAATTGTACAAGGTGTCCGATTGATTCTATTGTCAAACCGATTAGTAAACACATACAATCAACATCAATATCATAATCAAACAAATGCGGAAAGAATGATATGTTTGATACTTAGTCACACGTGGCAAACACGGGCACGCAGGCCCCCCAACTGTTTTAAAGAAAACATTGTTCGAAAATCCATGAGCAGTTTATAAATTTGAAATAAGAATGGAAGCATGAACCACGTCTTCCTTCTTGATCAATCACCTTAGGCAAATGTGCAGGTAGTAGGACTCTAGCCTTAACCTGAAAAATGTGAGGGCCCCCGAAGGGGTCAGTACTCCATAGAAGTACTAGTGACAAGCAGGCTATATTAAGAATAACTAATGTTTCAGACACGAGACCCAAAAATAGGGTGATACATATATGTAACTGTCACTCATCCGCCCGATGATACATACTATATATATATTTGAAAAATACTCAACCCGTGGGTCCGTTTCCTTAAAAGTATTTTAGTGGTAAAGTTCTTACCTGACTTTTCTCACTCCTTTCCCGAATGCCTAGCTCACAAGCTACATTCTACATTCATAATATCCTACCGAGTTTTGGGAGCATTTAGCATCCCGGGGATACTCAACCCCAACCGAGTTTCAGGATCATTTACCGTCCCGGAGATACTCAACCCCAACCGAGTTTCAGGATCATTTACCGTCCCGGGGATACTCAACCCCAACCTAGTTTCAGGATCATTTACCGTCCCGGGGATACTCAACCCCAACCGAGTTTCAGGATCATTTACCGTCCCGGGGATACTCAACCCCAAACTTATTCCTTAACAAACCCTAACCTTGATATGGCTAACCTTTCATTCCTTTAACTATGGACAATACCTATCCCTATAGTCATATAACAATCTTTAGTAACCAACGTGGGCGGGTCCCACCTGAACGGCTCACGTTAACCTACTCAAAACTGCCCGTTTTGAGCATAACCCAATACTCGATCGAGTACCCACCTATACTCGGTCGAGTACACGAGACAGTAGCCCGTAAGGCCAATTTTTTGTGTATACTCGATCGAGTACCTACCCATACTCGATCGGGTATAGAAGACAGTAGCCCCTGGGGCAAATTTTCAGCAATCACCCGGTCGGGTATTTGCCGATATCCGGTCAGGTATAGCAGTTGACTTGGTGGTCAACGCCCGTTTGACTGCCCAAACGGAGTCCGATTAACGTGAAATTTTACATGCAAGTACTCTTTGACGTCCTTAATCCAAAAATACCTGTTTGGGTCCTTGGAACATCATACATATCAATTTATGGTAATTTCACAAATCAAACCTATAAATCATGCTTTCTAACTATGTTATATTCTTTAACATAGCATAACACATACTTTAATACCATTAATCAATCCATAAAACATATTCTGGATTAATTTAGGTAATCTCATGCCTCATGCAAAAGTTATAAAGCATCAAGCCGTATTCTCACCTTAAATGAAGCTTATGAAGTTCTAGCCTCCCTTATTGAGCTCCGGCGAAACTCCGACGAACTTCGACGAACTCTGGTGACAATTCCGGCGCCCCTTCCAACTCCGTGAAAGTTCCTTGAATACCTTAGACAAGTTACTAACAAGGTTTTATCATCATAAAACTCATATTATTACAAATAACCTCCAAAAGGTTATTTTCCGGCGAACCGGTCACTTTGGCTTCTAAGTCCGTTCTTGGATCTAGAACTACCTTCCAACCCCTCATTCTACACTTCCAAACGTGTAGAACAATCCTAGGGTGTGAAATATGATTGTATAATCATATGAAAAGATTAAAGAAGACGAAATGGGATTAACGGGGTCATTACCTTGTTAATCTCAAGTTTTCCTCCCCAGCCTCCTCTTTTCTCTTCTCTGTTTCTCTCCTTCTTCTTCCTTAGCCTTGGTGCGAAAATGGGGGATGAAATGGTGTTCTTGGAGAGATTCTCCCTCTTCCTTGGATCCTTTGGTCGAGCTGAATGAGGGTGGATGAAGGAAACCCCCCACTTTTGTCTTCAATAGCACAAATAATGTGTATAGGGGGCCCTTGGGTGATCAAGTTGGTCTCTCCATCACTTCAGCCTCAATTCACAGCTCTCATACACCTCCCCTGCCCTCCACTTATGTGGGAGGTCAACCCTTTGTGTCTCGGAGTGTACAATCGGTCCCGAAAGTTGTATTTTCCGGACTGTTTTAATTATATTTAATTTTATCGGGTCAAATAAAATATAACACATGTTCCCAATCCTTATTGGACCTTAGAAGGAATATGCATTCCTCAACTTAGTTTTAGAAGTCTCCGAAATCCTTTTTCGGACTGTTATCTGATAAATTGCCGATACTGATAATTGGGCCCCGTTTGACCAACCGGTCAACCCTCTGTCATTGCCATGGCCCAATTAAGATATCTACCACCATACACATATTATCTAGGCCAAGATTATTATAATATATGGTCCCGACAGTACCGGGCGGCCCCCACTTCCGGTGTGGACCCCACGTGAATTTTACTATTCACGTAAAAGAAATGACAAAAATTTACAATC